GTTTATTTGAATTCTTATTCCGGATTAGTTGGAGACATACACTAGGCTATATCAGCCCCACCAAAAATATTTTTCACCAGCCGCCACTGTCCAACACCAACTTGAGAACTCACATTCAGGTGAATCACTAATTTCCCTCCTGCAGTATGCAAGGAGGGAAATTAGAGTTCAATAAGGTGACCGCTGTAGGAAAGAAGTGGTTTCTGAACCTGCTTGTGTTAGTCTGCAAACTGCGTAAATGGTAGAGCCTGGGGGAGGAACAGAAAGAGTATGGCCCGATGAGAGGAGTCTGAGAAAATCTTCCATGCCTGGTGCTGGCATCTCTTCTTGTGGACATCCTGTGATTGCCTGTCAGCAATTCCCTCTCAGCTTAGTGCTTTTTTAAGGTTCACATTCAGTTCTCAAAAATTAAATGTTAAACATGGGTCAATACTCATTAAAACCTTAAAGTAATCAAAAAGTAATCAAAAGTAATTAGTTACATTACTTTTTAAAAGTAATTGAAAAAGTTACACTACAATTAAATTTTAAACAAGGTAACTTGTAACTGTAACGGATTACATTTTTAAAGTAACTTACCCAACACTGCTTCTAAAATAGCATTAAACATCCTCCAGAGCTGCCTGACGTCATTCTCTGGTGAAATATGATTGCACTGCGTTGGTCTGCATTTTAGTTGTGTCAATCTGTAGATTATGCACTATATACTCTGCAGTTACAATGAAATGCAAACATTAATCTTAAAATGGCAACAATTGTTTACAAATCAAAAGCCGACGAATACGCCGGAGGTAGGGCAGGAATCGCATTTCTGGGACAGACGAGTGATAAAACAGAAAGAAAATAAACGCATTTATTCTCTCTAACCATTATTCACTTTATTTTCAATGTAATCTACTAGCTTTATACAATGTGATAGAAATAAGTACGAAAAGAAGAGTAACTGATGGTGACCTGGACGTATTTTTGGTTGCGCATGTGCAAATAAGCCGATGGTAGGGATCATGCTATTGAGCCATAAACCAATGTCCATGCTGATATTAACCTTGATCATCGGAGCGCTCTGCTGTTGGACTTTCCGCTCCAACTTCTGCAAACCCAACACTCACAAGCCCCTGTTCAGAGACGCTGCACTGGGACATCCTGCCTCCACTGTGCTTAAGGACAAAGGCCTCCGCTTGTAGCCTCTCTTTGCCGTGAGTCTCACCTTATGTTTACCCCGTAGAGACACCGTGAGTGAAAGCCGCACACCGGGGATCAGATTCTGCAGAATGATCAAAGGCGAAGTGGACCAGTTGACTAATTATTGTTGCAAAAATAGAAAGTTCTGCTAGATTTCTCTTTAAGTTTACAGGAAACTTTGAGATGCCAGAGACAGTGAAGCATTTTGCTCATTTCATTTGTCACACTGTTGAGTACAGCAAGCTTGCAAGAAGCCAATGGAAGCTAATAGTGACGGCACGGTATCCAATGCTGACATGTTTTAAGCTGCAGTTTATGAAACAAAAACAAAAAAACACTTTTCATTAGGGTTTATGACACCAACATAACATTAATATTAGATTGAGGCTGCTCGGTGGTGCATTGGGTAGCACTGCTGCCTTGCAGCAAGAAGATTCTGGGTTCGATTCCCAGCCTGGGGTCTTTCTGCCATGCTCTCCCTGAGCATGCGTGGGTTGTCTCTGGGTACTCCGGCTTCCTCCCACAGCCCAAAAACATGACAGTTAGGTTAATTGGCTTCTCTAAATTCTCCTTAGGTGTGGGTGTGTGACTATCTTGTGATCATACTGTTAGGGGATTGTGTGTGTGTGAAGTCTGGATTCAGTGGACAGCGCGAAGGAACTACTTCTTGTGATCAATGGGCTGAAAGCCGATTGCGAGCAATGCGTCGTGGAGCGCATAGGGTGTGACAGGACATGTAGGACGTCACAGCCATCCACTGCATCGATACCAGTTAGCATGTTTCTTCATGTGCTAATTATTTGACCAAAGAGTCCTTTAATATGAGTCCCCTCATGTCTGTAAGCTATTAGCACAACCACAGAAGGCAAAGAACCATTTAACTAAAGTTTATTGATTTCTGAACACATTTTTGATAAAATGTACTTTTATTATCTTACATATAGTTAAAGCTACAGTGTGTAATTTTCAGCGACATCTAGCGGTCAGACTGCAGACTGCAGCAACATGAACATC